CAATTCAATTCAATTCAATTTAAATTGTATCTTTTTATTTTTAACTCGTAACCTTTATCTGTTTCTGTAAGCCGCCCAGAGACCTACGGGATTGGGCGGCATACAAATTCATTAAATTATTATTATTAATTAATTATACAGGGGCGAAAGCAGGGGTGGGTTTTTCGCCCCGTTCCAACCGGTTCGGTTGGAACGGGGCCGGCGGCGTCCTCGTGCACGCGTGCTCCGCGCGCGTGCACGCATGCGGCGCACACATGCATACTAGCATCTGTGCGATGCTCCAGCTGCTCCTGGAGGATCGCGCAGGTGCTGTATGCGTCCTGCGCATGCGTGGAAGCGCAGAACTCGTCAAAACCGGGTAAGGAGCGCGGGCGGGCTGGTGGGCCCTTCGCCGTTCCCGGAAGTTACTTACTTCCGGGTTCGCCAACCAACCGGTTCACAGGGACCGCCGCGAACCTGTTGAAACCCACCCCTGGGTGAAAGTGTCAGGTGATGCTTCCCCCCCACAAATGAGAACTAGAATCTTGCATGGCCCATTGTACACTTCCGAATGGGCCCACCTCCTCCTCTCCTTTTCATTTCTCTTGCTCTTCCCTTCTCTCTTCCCACCTCTCTCCCCATCTGTGTTTATTTTTCCCCCTCTTCCTTCCAGCCACGCCGACTTCCTCTTTTCCACCACCACCCCCTCTCCACCTTCCCTTGTGTATTTGAAAGAAAACTAAATTTAGGTGTGCTGCGAAGCAAAGACGCAAATGCATGCCAAGCACTTTAATTTTAATTTTATTTATTTTTTCCAGAAATCTCTGGAGGAAAAAAAAGTCGAGGAGGTGGAAGGGACTGGATGGTGGCTGTTTTTAGTGGGGAGGGGGCTTCGAGGTAGTCCTGGACTTACAACCATTCGCTTAGTGACCCAAGTCGCAACGGCGCTGGGGGAAAAAAAGTGACTTATGCCCATTTTTCACACTTGTGACGGTTACGGCCTCCCCGTGGTCCCGCCAGCAAAATTCAGACGTTTGGCAATTGTGACTCGTATTTATGACGGTTGCAGTGCCCCGGGGTCTCCATTTGCAACCTTCCCGGCCAGCTTTGGACAAGCAAAGTCAACGAGGGAAGGCAAATTTGTTTCATGACCGGGTGATTCACTTAACAACGGCAGCGATTTGCTTCGCAAGAAGTCATAAAACGGAGCAAAACTCTCTGTTAATAACTGCCTTCCGTAGCAGCAAAGCTTCCTACCTATAGATTGAGCCGCTTAGCTGAAATTCACAATCAGGGGCTCCCCTAGAGGGTCCTTGGTGCCCTCTGAGCTTGGTGGTTTTCTTGGAGATGTTTCATTACCCAAACTGAGCAACATTAGCACTGATGATGTTACCTAGTTGGGTAATGAAAGGTCTGCAAGGAAACCACCAAGCTCAGAGAGCACCAAGGAATTCACAGTCCTCCTCTTCCTCCCCCATTCCTCCTCCTGCTCCTCCTCTTCCTCCTCCTGCTCCTCTTCCGCCTGTTCCTCCTTGTCTCTGCAAACCCCATTCCCCTCTATCACTGATGATGTTACCTAGTTGGGTAATGAAAGGTCTGCAAGAAAACCACCAAGCTCAGAGAGCAAGAAAGACCCTACAGTCCTCCTCCTCCTCCTTTTCCCCTCCTTTCCCCCCTCCCCTCTCCTCATTTCCCCCTCCTTTTCCTCCTCCTCCTCTTTTTGTTGCTCCTCTCTTCCTCCCCTCCCTCTCCCCCTCCTTCTTTTCCCTTCCTTTTCCTCTTCCTCCACTTCCTCCTTTCCCCCTCCCCGTACGCTTCCTCCTCCACCACCTTCTCATCCTCCTTTTCCTCTTCCTCCCCCTCCCCTTCTCCTCCTTTTCTTTTCCTCTTCCTCCTCTTCCTCATCCTCCTTTTCCTCTACCTCTCCTCCCCCTTCTCCTCCTTTTCTTTTCCTCTTCCTCCTCTTCCTCCACCTCCTTTTTCTCTACTTCCCCTCCCCTTCTCCTCCTTTTCCTCTCCCTCTTCCTCCTCCTCCTCATACTTTTCCTCTTCCTCCCCCTCCCCTTCTCCTCCTTTTCTTTTCCTCTTCCTCATCCTCCTTCTCATCCTCCTTTTCCTCTACCTCCCCTCCCCCTCTCCTCCTTTTTCTCTTCCTCTTCCTCCCCTTCTCCTCCTTTTCCTCTTCCTCTTCCTCCCCTTCTCCTCCTTTTCCTCTTCCTCTTCCTCCCCTTCTCCTCCTTTTCCTCTTCCTTCCCTTCTCCTCCTTTTCTTTTCCTCTTCCTCATCCTTCTTCTCATCCTCCTTTTCCTCTACCTCCCCTCCCCCTTCTCCTCATTTTCCTTTCCTCTTTCGCCTCCTCTTCCCCAGCTTTTGCCTTTTCCTCTTCCCCCTCCCCTCTCTCCTTCCTCCCACTTCCTCCTCCTCCCCTTCCTTTTCCTCCTCCTCCTCTCTGTAACCCCGCGTCCCTTCTAGCACTGATGACGTTACCTAGTCAGGTCACGAAACGTCTGAAAGAAAACAAGGAAGCTCAGAGAGCACCAAGGACCCCTCCCCCTCTCCCCCCAGTTCAACCCTGAGCTACAAATATTCTCCTTTATTGGAGCCACAAAATAAGAGCGTCCCCCTTTTTAACAAGGAGGGAAGGTTGCATAACCCAATTAGACCGAAACTGCTTCTGCCGCATCTTCTCCGGCATTTCCAATCCCGCATTTCATCATCCCCAACTCGGCGATCCGTCAAACGCTCCGGAAACAGGTGACAGATGTTGCATGACCTGAGATGCTGTCAAGTGTCCTGTTTCCACTTGTTAAAGATCGCAATCGCACCTTTTTTGCAAATCTGCCAGGAGGAGAAAATCGACACCTGGCTGGGTGGGGATTC